TTCAGATATACGACCCATCGCTATAGAAGCTGGTAAAAAATGGTCGATTCCCTGTTAGTTACTGACTCCTGCTTGTGGTGATCGAGGAAGCTTCGACTCAGGAGTCTGTCCCACAAATTGACAGCTCTGGAGAATAAGCTGTCTGAGTGGATGTTAGAAATTTGAGATGACTTGCTCTCACTTGACCCACAGCGATATCCACGAGAAATCTCGAGTGAATAAGCAATTACACACACACACACACACACACATATATATTTATATATATGAAAGAAAATAGGCCAGAAATTAAGTGCTTTACGTTCGCTTGTAATTAAACATCCGGGTTTGATTAAAAGACAGACCTAGAGATACTCAATCGTGTTTAATTTGAATAAATTAGGGTACATAATGATATTTCAAATTACTTGCCGAGTCGACAGGATGGGGCGACTTGCCGTCTGGCTTTGGTTGGGGTGAGAGAAGCGGACAAACAGAAACGGAAGTGCTCATTCGCGCGCTTACATAACAGGAAGTGTTTCGTTTACATGTGACGTCACCAATTCCCTATTGCTGTGAAGTTCTCAGCCGTGGAGAAAATATTCAAAGGATATACTTCCTGTTATACACCTCACTTTCTCTTCTTTCTTTCTTTTTTTTTTCTCGTTCTTTCTTTCCCTTTCCCTCTCTTCCCATGACAGAATCCGATCTGCCTGTTTCTATCTTTCTTTCTTTTTCTTTCTCTTTCTCTTTTCTTTCTCGTTCTACTACCCACTCTCTTTCTCTCTCTCTCTCTCTCTCATTCCCCTCTCTCTCTCTCTCTTTCTCACTCACACATTATTTCTCTTTCTCCCTTCTTGTAAAAGCATTCACTCTCTTTCTATTAAATTTTCACTCTCTTTGTGACATACGCATCCCCTCCCTCTCTCTCTCTCTCTCTCTCTCTCTCTCTCTCTCTCTTTCTCTCTCTTTCTCTCATTTACTATTTCTCGCTCTCCGATTTTTTTATTCGAGTCCTCTTTAGGTAAATTTTATTTTGCAGCCATTGACCTACATATTTACGAAAGAGACTGTTGCAAGTACTCTTACTAAACAAGAATTATTAGTGTGCAAAAATTCCCAGCGTTCGCTTTTGAAAAACTGGTGACTAAATGCAGTGGGAAACCGGTTTTACGTTTTGTAGATACCTAATATAAGCCATGCATAAAAAACAATGAAAGACGACAGTTCATTTCGGATCTGAAACTGAGAAGCTAGGCGATAAAACTGAGAATGTTTTCGGATCTGCAAGATATCGCCCAGTCTATTTTATTTCTTAAGTCATTCAAGTGTGGATGAACAACATATTTTAATTTTAGGAACGGCGAACAAAACGAAACACCTAGATTTGTATTTCAAAAGGCTCTTTGAATACCATGAACTAATATAGCAGTTAATCGACATTGCAGCTGAATTATATATATAGTGGTTAAATAAGAAAATTATATATATATATATATATATATATATATATATATATATATATATATATATATATATATAGGTAAGGTGAGAACGAATATATATATATATATATATATACTAGCGTTGCCCGTGCTTGATTCAAAAAATCGTACGACTCATACAGCAATCGCTATCACTTGACTTAAAATATTTTTGCCCTTCCTTGCTTTTTAAAGGAGTGCCCTTTTCCGTGCTGATGTTGCTACATGCCTTACTTCTTGCCTATCTCACACTGCGATTTTTTTTTCTAAGCTCTATACTAAACATTAAATCTGTTATGAAAAAGAACTAAACAAAATGAACACAAAACGATCAGCTTTAAAAAGGACTCGTAACTGGAAAAACCGAATGAAAAAGAATGTTAACAACAAATACTTTTTCACACCCAACTCAGTTCTGCGGAATTAGAATCAACGTTGAGTTTAAGCAAGCGAATGAGCCAATTGGAGTAAAGTGCCATGCAGTTTTAAATTTTTCCCACTTGTGACGAATGCAGCTATTGATATTTTTTGCATTCTAGCATACTAGTTAACATTCGTGTCAGTCAGCTGTTGGTTCTCATGCTGGCCAATAGAGTCTTCCTGCCTATTCGTGGTAGCCAGCTATAGGCTCTCACTCTGGCCAGTACAAAATGGCCGCAAACTACATGAAAACTGCCGTATAAGCATGGAAAATCGATGGGAGTTGGAAAATGCAATGTCGGTCTTGGCCTTCCCGCTAACTTGGAGCATCTTAATCTTGGTGCAAATGCGTCGAGAATTGCGGCCGTGCATTCGTTACACATACATACACATCCTGCCTTTTATTATATATATAAGCGTTCGGTAGACAAGGTCGAATTTACTGCTTATAAATGCTTGTCTACCGAACGCTTCTTTGTAGCCTAGAGATAAGGCACGTCAGCGTATATGACGGTTCCGTATAGGATGCAGGTTCGAATCCTGTCAAAGAACGAATATTTTCTATGAAAATTTCTCGGACATTCAGGCCGGTAAATGTTATTTAATACTGTTTATCATAAACAGAGCATTTGCTTAAATACTTGTATCTATAAAATAACAACGTTAAACATAAATAAAAATGTCTTTAATAAATAAATTGTCGGACCTTGTCCATTTCTTAATATATGACGTCATTTGTTTACATTCGATACGCCAGAGCAGTTATGAATGTACGAGATTCATGGAAGATTGGAGTTTATAAGCAGTAAATTCGACCTTGTCTACCGAGGCTTCTTTGTAGCCTAGAGGTAAGGAACGTCAGCGTATATGACGGTTCCGTATAGGATGCGGGTTCGAATCTTGTCAAAGAACGAATATTTTCTATGAAAATTTCTCGGACATTCAGGCCGGTAAATGTTATTTAATACTGTTTATCATAAACAGAGCATTTGCTTAAATACTTGTATCTATAAAATAACAACGTTAAACATAAAAAACGTCTTTAATAAATAAATTGTCGGACCTTGTCCATTTCTTAATATATAATTATTTATACTTTCAGTGTGATGGTATGTTTTTTAAAATATATTGCTGGTAATTTTACTATCTAAATGTATTCTTATATAATTTAATTGTTGCATTGATTGTGATTTTGCTATAAAAAATATATTTTGGATCATTTTATTAAAAGTATGTACTGTTAATTTTCGTTTTGGGTTTCAATATTTGTCCATAGATGGGACACTAACAGGTGCTAGTACACCGGTTCAAGGTGAATCTGGGGACAACATCAATTAAGAGATGGTTCCACGCTCCTCAAAACCTCCAATCTCCTTGCTGCCGGATGTAATTTATCGCGATACCCAGGACACTTGTTTTTAATATTTGCCTTATAAGATATCTTCAGTCTCTCTCTCTCTCTCTCTCTCTCTCTCTCTCTCTCTATATATATATATATATATATATATATATATATATATATTTAGGATATTACACCGGAAAACAAACATGTCAAAATCGCTACAGAATTGCAGTCGTGTTTCGATGTGTATCAATGCATCGCAACAGGCGATTTTAAATTACTGGCGAGTGAACGATTTATTTAGATTTAAAAGCAAAATACAACCCGGATATATATATATATATATATATATATATATATATATATATATATATATATATATATATATATATATAAAAGCAATAATCATTTATGGGGAATTTCGATATACGCTGTTCATCTCGAGGTCCTCAACAAAATCCAGAGACGGATATGCAATGTGATATGTCTTGATCTGACATCTCGTCTACAGTTACTTTCTCACAGACGCGATGTGGCTTCCCTGTGTCTTTTCTACAAATATTTTCATGGCAACTGCTCTGGTACCCCATCTGCATGAATTTAAGCGTGCTACTAGGTTGGCATCTCGGTCCCACCCTTTCACTGTCGAAACAGTTTAATATAACCGCCTCTTCTATTTCAATAGCTTCTTCTTTTCTCACTTCCCGACAGTGAAACTCTCTTCCTCTTATTTGCTTCCCTGATAGCTATAATCTTCAAATATTCAAATGTAATGTCAATCGACATCTTCTGATGCCTTGATCTTGTTCCCTGTGCTTCCCTTTTCTCAAACACCGCTCTTTACTCTTACTCTCACTCTCTGTAACCCCTTGCATGGTAGTAACACTCTCGCCTTGCTTGGGGTGAAATACTTATAAAAAAATACTAACATGTCATTCATTTATGAAATGCTTACATTTTCTCAGCCACTACCTTACAAATCAAAAATAAACCACTTCACATCGACCAACAAAGTCCTCAGAATTTTCGAATTTTTATAAAACCAATGTTTTTCACTGAATCCACACACATACATATGGACAACATTTCGATGATTCGTTGATTTTATTTTTTACGGCTTGTCAACCCATTACAGATTATTTAATGCCGGAAAATATATTTTGGTTGTAAGAATTTTTTTCTGATAATAATGGTTTAGTGATACGAGACTTATTAATTAACCCATAGGCGGGGGAAAGACGTGGATTCATGCCTAATCAGAATTTGACAGACAAATAAAAATTATAATGTAGATATAAAGTGGGGGGTCAATTATATATTACAATCAATATATAAACTGAGCCCCCGCTTTGTGGCTATAGTAGTTTCTTTACATTTATATTCTAGAGAAGGTGAATAAAATAAAAAATAAAATAAAATCTAAAAATAAATCAAATAAAATAAATTTGAAATGACCGGTCTGTGTAACTAATCAGTAGTTCACTGAATGATTCGTTTTTTATGGTTTATCAACCATTTGTAGGTTATTTTAAGCCAGAAATTTTTTTTTTTAGATTGTTAGAATTTTGCTTTTGGTGAGGAGGATAATAATGATTTAATCATACAAGTCTTACTATTTAACCCATAGCTGGAGGAAAAGAGGCGCATTCATGCCTTTCCCAAGGGTATTTGCGCGTAATGGAATATAATGAACACAACTGGAATTGAAACTCAACTCTCCGGCTCACAATTCCGAGCCATTGTTTATTACATCATCCGCACATTGAAACTTAGACCACATGATAGTCCCAAGCGGTCACCCATCTAGGAAATAACGAGGTTCGATGTTGCTTAACTTCGGTGATCGTACGAGAACCGGTGTTTCAACATGATATGGCCGTGAGCCGGGTTTCGACACGTGACAAGTCAACCTACGAGAAATATGTACATTACGTGCACCTCGCGAACAAACAAAATGCAAATATCAATAAAAGGCAAACAGAAGTAGATAATACCAAAATACTATATAGTACTCACTGTAATGAAAGACTCAAAATTCTAAAAGCCATTACTATACGAATGAAACAACCCATATTAAACGAAATACCTTTCACCACAAAAGATGGTATCTTGAAGTGTGTAGAAAATATTTAATATGCTTACAAAATAATATTTGATACATAGATTTCTGCTGTGGTGTAGCTCCATTTAACCGTTTTACACATGATGCCATTTTGGATGAAATCAAATCACAGCCGTCTAAAAAAATGCTAGGATGTAGAGAATATCTTGTCTACCAAAATGACAACATCAAGTTCTTCTTAATTCTTCGGAAGTATGTATGATGTGTATAAGTCTATATATTGGCATGAGTGTTTGTATAAGTCTGAGACCTCAACACCTCTGCAAGCATGTCTTTCTTGTGTGGGTGAGAAATGTGGGTAGGTCTTGATTTATGGGATTATATATTAATTCTGTGTTGGTAAATTTGTGGTTAGGCCCGTCTAGACGAAGTGTGTTGAGGCGCAAAATCCAATTTTCATGTTCTTCTAATATTTTTCTAAGGTCATCTTTATGGTATATTTCTATTTTTTTCAATTATAGTGAATTTGGCATGGCTTTTAAAATCATGTTTTTCTAAGAGGAAATGTTATTCTACAATTTTTCGTGGGGAGCCGACCTGATCCGATTCCGATAATTATTAATTCTGTAGTGAAAGGGCCATTCAAATTTTCCCACATATTTGTTTCTGGGATAGTGTACATTCTAATAAATAAATAATGTTATGACTTCTACAGTTAGAGTTGTGGTAGTTTTTGAAAGTAGATTTAGTGACTGAGCTAGTGAATGAATTGGTATGTCTAATAGAGTTACAACATAGGCTCTTTTTGTTCATGGTTGGGAATATCCTGTTGTTTTTGGTCTATTATGGGTTATCTTAGCATCTGAAATTTGGTTACTACCTGTAATTTCCTTAATGACTAAGATGATCGAAAGAGCTTGAACAAAAACAAAATGGAAACATCATATCTGGACAGTTTATCTAAAATATTGATTTGGATGTACGTCTTACTTGAAAATTGGAAAAATAAAATAAAAGTTGTCACTTGAATTTAACAATACTTGTTTAAATGAATTCTTGTCACCTACACACACACACACATATAATATATATATATATATATATATATATATATATGTGTGTGTGTGTGTGTGTGTGTGTGCGCGCGCGCAAATATACAGAAAAATAGGAAAGAACACGTTAGGTAAATAATCCGAAGTTCTTTAGTAGTTTGTTTTTATTTTTAAAAACAGTGCTCAATACAAAAGTAGAGCCTAAATTATATATATATGTGTGTGTGTATGTGTGTGTGTGTGTGAAAAGTGTGTATATATATATATATATATATATATATATATATATATATATATATATATATATATAAAATGTGTGTATATATATATGTGTATAAATATATATATATATATACCTATATATATATATATATGTGTGTGTGTGTGTGTGTGTGTGTGTGAAAAGTGTATATATATATATATATATATATATATATATATATATATATATATATATATATATATATATATTATCAGGATTTATACCAAAATAAATAAATAAACAAATATAGAAAATAAAATTAAATTATAATAATTACATTTATTGTTTTTATCATTCTCCCACCACGATTACTAATCACTTCTACCAATTTTACAATAACTATTAGCCACTTATATTATCATTGTCTCCAATCCCCTTACAACATTACTATCACATCACATCTACTATTATGATATAAACCCGCTATAATTATTAACGTAAACCACCCCCTCCACCAGCATATTAAATACCACCATAAAAAATAACCAATAAGGATTACAAACCAAAATTTCTACCAGTTACATATACACAGTCATCAAAAACAAGCAAATAACCAGCTTTAAAATAATAACAAATAAATTTTTAAAAAATTAAAAATAAAAATAATAGTAATTTTTACCTATCATAATTTTACACAGACCCCCACCACACGTATATACGTGCATGCAAGGAAATATTATTCAGCGAAAAAATAGAAAAATGCTCTGATTGCTGACATGTATACATTCACGAGACATTCACGAGAAATTTTCGCTACACTTCCAATCTTTGAATTTCATCATACAAATACGTATGTGTAGACACAACACCACCCATATACATACATATGTCAAATCCAAAACTGTCCACATATGTTTATATATATATGAGTCCCGGCAAACGAGCAAGTGTGTCTGTGTGTCTGCGTACCTCATCGGGTGTACGGACATGCATCTATGTTTGCGTTAGCACGATGACATCACGACGACTTCCCCCCCACTCCCATAATAACACCAATACACGCAATCTACATAAACCCAAATAAAAAAAAAAAATAAACAGTCTGTCTGACGATCGCAAAAGCGTGAAACCCAGGGTCACAAACTCACATCAATAAAACCATATATATATATATATATATATATATATATATATATATATATATATATATATATAAGTATAGGATCGGAGTATACAGAATAAATTCAAATAACCAACAAATACTATTCTTAAAAGAGTACTCAATACAGAGTAGGAAAAATATAATTATTCATGCGGAAATTATAACATAAATATGTATTAAAATCACTACAAAAATAGCCATTTTGTTTCAACACTTCTGGTGTCTTATCAAGTGATGGTGTATTCAACATTCAACACCATCACTTGATAAGACATCAGAAGTGTTGAAACAAAATGGCTATATTTGTAATGATTTTATAACATATTTATGTTATAATTTTCGAATGAATAATTATATATATATATATATATATATATAAGCAGTCAACATTACGTAAGTTAACTTTCTTCATAAGTGATCGCATATTGAATTGTTTATAAAGGAAAAATGAAAATACACATGGAAAATTCAGTCTGGCCGTTTAAATGACGTCACTTTGAGTGATTTGAAATTGGTCCCAGCAAACGTGGGAACGCCAGAATTAACATAAACGTACACAATAATTGCATAAACATAATTGCATAAACATGCACAAAACACAATTCTTGAAATCAAATATAGAAACATTCGAATCTACTATAATATAAACATGAAATATATTTACCGATTACTGCTGTTAGATGTCAATTCTTTGCCTTGACACATTTGTAAGATAATAATTTCTATTTTTTTTCTTTTCGCTTAGGTTAAACTTAGGTCATATTCGATTGGTTGATCAGGGTAAAGCTCTCAAGCCTTTATTTTTTATTTTATAATTTTCTTTTCAAAAAATGAGGATGTATTTTGCTTTTGAAATCAAATTAATCGTTCACTCACCAGTAATTTGCAATCACCTGAGGAGATACATCGTTATGTGTTGAAACACGACTGCAATTGTGTAGCGATTTTTACATGTTTTTGTTGCAATATCCTAAAATAAATAATATTGCTCTACTTTGTATTGAGCCTCCTTTTAAATTAAATGTTACGAACATTGGAAGTGTACTTTATTCATTCTCATCGTACTTGGATATGGTGGACTCTCCTATCATGAACGATAAATGAAGGTCAGCATTGGATGGTGACTTTCATTTTACACTTATGCATGCTAGCAGGGGCTATTGTGGAGAAAATCAGGTAAGGGAAAGACATATTTCATTTGTGCTTTCTTAAGTGTGATACTAGCCCAGCTTTACTGCAGGCGACAACGCCACACCGAGAGATGAAATGTGTTAAAGCAGGATTTCGATGACATTTCTGCTTCAGAGCTTGACAAAGCTGATCACGGTGCTTCAGTCTACTGTCTTCAAAGCATTTTAACTTAATGAAACATGTCTTACGCCACTCCTTTCGGTTTGATGCAGGTTTTCAGATCAAAGTTCAGACGTTTCAAGTTGTCTTTCAACTTGTCTGTAGGGTAAAAGCTGACGTCTAACTGAACGCTTGGAGTTTGGTAGTTGTCCATACAACATCTTTTTTTTTGGAAGCCTATGCTTATCCATTCTCACAACATGACCAGCTCACCAAGTTGTATATTTGCTAGAAACATATATATATATATATATATATATATATATATATATATATATATATATATATATATATATATATATAATTCATTCTAAAATTATAACATAAATATGTTATAACATCACTACAAAAATAGCCATTTTATTTCAATGACACCAGAAGTGGTGAAACAAAGTGGCTATTTTTGTAGTGATGTTATAACATGTTCATGTTATAATTTTTGAATAAATAATATTTGCTCTACTCTGTATTGAGCACTCTTTTAAGAATAGTATTTTTGGTTATTGGAATTTATTCCATCTGAACCAATCCTATACTTGATTATATATATATATATATATATATATATATATGCATGTATGTATGTATGTATATGCGAATTAATCTTTGTAACACGTCCGAACAACATATATTTATCTATGATCATGAGAATTTTTAAAAATTAAAGGAAAATTGTTAACTCATAGCTTCATAAAAATAAGTGAATAAAATATAATAATGAATGATATTAACAACATTAAATCACTTTCGTTTAGACAACATGCACAATATTTATGTCCCTTAGGCTCCTCCATAGTTTTCCTTTTCTTTTTCTTAACGCCGAGAGATTTTCAAATATTTTAGCACGTTCTCTAATTCAATTTCTAATGCATAAAGATATTTTTTTCTCGTCTTTACTTTTTTTCTGTGGGTATAAATACACTAAACGAAATGTTTATATTTGTCTTGATAGAGTTCCTCAAGGAACCAAACGTGATGGCATAACAATTTTTTTCCTCTCGTCATTTCTTTTAATAACATGCCCTTTACATGTTCAATGGCGTTTAACTTTG